TCCCCGCCCTCCTCCCCCTCTCCTTCCTCCTGCTCCCCACGGGTGCCCAGGGGGGTCCCACAGCCCTGCCAGGTCCCCCATCCCGGCGTTCCCGGGCTCATCCGTTGGCTGTGGGTCGGGATGAGGCGGGGCTGGCGCCGATCCCGTGCCATTCCCTGCAGGAACAGCCAGGCCTGCAGCAGCGCCCTGCGGAAGCCGGCCATCTCCCTGGCCGACAGCACGGAGCTCAGGTACCCCCCTGGCCCTGGGAGAGGGTGGGACAATGGGTGGGACATCCCTGGGGACAAGGGACACGCCCCACCCGCCTGCTGTCCCCGCAGGGTCCTGCTCAGTGTCATGTACCTGATGGTGGAGAACATCCGTGTGGAGCAGGAGGCGGATCCGCCCGAGTGGAAAACCTGCCGGGAGACCTTCAGGATGGAGCTGAGTGAGCCACAGACCCCTCTGTGCCCTCTCAAGGTCCCTCTGCTCTGCTGGGCCAGCGGGGAGAGCCCAGGGACGAGGGATCTGCTCTGGAGCCGTTCCTGGTCCCTCTCTCCACAGGTTTCCCTGTGCACACGGAGGAGCCGTTTGCTCTCCTGCTCTTCACGATGGTGACCAAGTTCTGCAGCGGCCACGCTCCACACTTCCCCATGAAGAAGGTCCTGCTCCTGCTCTGGAAGGTGCTCCTGGTGAGTGCAAACCCTTCCTGTTTTTCCAGAAACATTTTGCTTTGGAACAGCGCTGCTGCAGCCTGGGTGTTCCCCACTGTTGGACCCGACCACGAGAAGGTTATTTGGGATGCACGGGGAGCTGACACAGGGCAGGTTCCTCTGGGATCAGGGTGGGCCGAGCACACAGAGGACGTGGGGTGGGGGAGAAGTGGTCCCTCACCCCAGAGAACAAACCAGTGGTGAGGTGTCTTCAGCTCCCTGGGATCAGGGTGGGCCGAGCACTCAGAAGGCACGAGGTGGGGGAGAAGTGATCTCTCACCCTGGAGAACAAACCAGTGGTGTGGTGTCTTCAACTCCCTGGGATCAGGGTGGGCTGAGCACTCAGAGGAAGAACAAACCAGTGGTGTGGTGTCTTCAACTCCCTGGGATCAGGGTGGGCTGAGCACTCAGAGGACGTGGGGTGGGGGAGAAGTCTGGAGGATGAACCAGTGGCGAGGTGTCTCCAACTCCCCGGTTTGATCCCCTGACCTGGTGCTCCCTGGAAGCCCGTGCTCCCGGTGGGATGTGTGTCCCTGCTGCTTCCTGGAAGCCCATGCTTCCCAGTGGGATGTGTGTCCCTGCTGCCCCCTGGAAGCCCGTGCTCCCGGTGGGATGTGTCCCTGCTGAGGGACCTCTCCTCTGTCCCCAGTTCACGCTGGGCGGGTTCGAGGCCCTGCAGGCCATGAAGGTGCGGCGGCGGGAGGAGCTGGGGCTGCCTCCCCTGCCCGAGGACAGCATCCAGGTGGTCCGGAGCATGAGGGCGGCCTCTCCTCCCACCTACTCCATCGAGCTCGTGGAGCAGCAGCAGCAGCAGCAGCAGCAGAAGCGGGGCCACCGCAGCCGCAGGGTAGGAGCTGCCACGTCCTGCTGGGGCAGAGCTTTGGGCTGGGAGGGACCTTGGATCCATCCGGCTCCAAACGACGCCTTTCGCTATCCCAGGTTGATCCAACCTGGCCTTGGACACTCCCGGGGATCCAGGGGCAGCCACAGCTTCTCTGGAAAATTCATTCCAGGCCTTCCTCACTCTCCCAGCCAGGAATTCCTTCCCGATATCCCATCTAACCCTCTGGCACTGGGAAGCCATTCCCTGTGTCCTGTCCCTCCCTGCCTTGTCCCCAGTCCCTCTCCAGCTCTCCTGGAGCCCCTTTAGGCCCTGCAAGGGGCTCTCAGCTCTCCCTGGAGCTTTCTCTTCTCCAGGTGAACATTCCCAGCTCTCCCAGCCTGGCTCCAGAGCAGAGGGGCTCCAGCCCTGGCAGCAGCTCCAGGGCCTCCTCTGGATTCTCTCCAGCAGCTCCTGCTGTTGTTCCCAGGGCTGGAGGAGGGGGGGGGGTCTCCCCTGAGGGGGCAAAGAGGCAGGATCCCCCCCTGCCCTGCTGCCCACGCTCCCTGTGGGATCAGCTCAGGGCACAGTTGGGTTTGGGGCTCTCAGGACACGTGGCCAGGCCATGTCCAGTTTTCCACTCCCCCAGTTTCTGTTGTGGCAGCTCAGCCCCCGGTGGCTTTGTCCAGAGGAAGCCAGAGGACATCCCAACCCTCTGGCAAAGGGCTGATAAGCACCAGGAGCAAACTGCTCCCGGCAGGTTCTGTTTTTAGCTCCCCTCCTGGAGTTGCTGTGCTGTGGTCTGAGGATGAAATGGCTTTTGTGAGGGCAGAGATGTGGGGTGGAAGCTCCAGAAGTTAAGGTGGATAACGGAGTCCCACCTCCTAAAGCTGCAAGGTTAGAGGTACATTCCTTATCCAGGCCAGGCTAGAAGGGAAATCCTCACCCGGGGAACACCTGGAGGGAGGGGATGGGGAGGATGGGGAGGTCTGGTGCCGACAGCCGGCAGGGAAATAAAATCCAGGGAGTGACTTGGGTCCCTCCTCCCCCTCGTGCTGCAGCCCCTGGTGAAGCAGGACAGCTTGGACATCTACAACGAGAGGGACCCCTTCAAGAACGACGAGGCAGGAGTGGAGGAGGAGGAGAACGACGACGTGGACAGCGGGATCGAGGGGGAGCTGGACCTGATGGAGCGGGACACCATCGTCCCCCCCCTGCCCCCGCAGCGCCTGCCCATCGACAGGGTGTCCTTCCCCAAGGGGCTGCCCTGGGCCCCCAAAGTCAGGTAAGACCCCCCCCAGTGTCACTGCCACCCTCCCCAGCCCCCCTGCCCTGGAGTTCATTCCCACGTCAGCCCGTGGGAAGTTTCCTGAGGGGATTCCACTTCTCGTTTTGGGTTCTCGTTTGGTTCTTTCTGGGCTGGGCTTAGCTGAGCTCCTCCCCAGGGTTTTAAAACCAAGGTTGGCCTAGAAGTGGCAGTTCCACTGTGGACATCCCAGGGTTGTGCTGGGAGGGAGGCTGTGCTGGAGCCAGGGTCAGCTTTCCCAGCTGGCACCGGGTGGATCTGGGAAGGGCAAGGTCCTCAACTGATCTTCTGGGGAACTGGTCAATGACTGGCAGCTTCCTTGTGGAGCTGGACTCTTGTGTGGCCAGCTGGCACCTTCCTGAGCAGTGGAGAAAAACATCCAAGGATAAAGGATGTTTATCCCTCCCTCAGACCAGTCACCTGCACGTGGTGTTGAGGGAATGTCAGGGAAAGAGGGTGCAAACCTCTGCCCTTCCCCTCAGATCCATCCGAGGGTTGTTGCTGTTTGCCCAAAGCCTGGATTTAACCTTTAAAACACAGGAGCAAAGAGACATTTCTGCCGTGGGAGCAGTGACAGGGTTAAGTTGGTCCATGCAGAGGGACACGGCAGGAATTGTTTCCCCCGTGGATCTCCACGCTCTCAGCTCCTCCTCAGCAACCTCCCGTTGCTTTCCTTGGCCGTTGCCTGGAAATCCAGCTGGATTTCTCTGCCCGTGGGATCCTTGGCTCATGTCCCACTGATCCTGACCAGTTCCCATGAAAATGCCCGAGGTGGACGAGATGCTGGCCTGCCCTGGGAGCAGCACGAGCTCTGACAGACCACAGAGACAACATTTGTTCACTCAGAGCGAGCAGATGCTCCTTGGAGGTGCCTGTGGGAGGAGCACAGGAGGTGCAGGGAGAGGTGCTGGTTGTAGAGAATTCCCCTCCGTTTACTTTCCCGTGGAAAAGTGGAAATACACAGCAAATACAAACGGGTTTGGTCCGTGTTGCTCCCAACCAAGGGTGGCTTTTCCCATTGCTCCAGAAACCAATCCAAGGCTGTGATTTGTTTTCCAACCTCCTCCTCTTTGTTCTTTCTTTCTCCTCTGCTCCATCAGACAGAAGGACATTGAGCATTTCCTGGAGGCAAGCAGGAACAAATTCATCGGATTCACGCTGGGACAGTGAGTGTTGTGTCCACAAAACCTGTCCTTGAGATCCCACCCATGCACAGAAGGTGTCCACAGGTTTTCCCAGCTCAAGGCTGTGAAAGCAGCGTTGGAAAAACCTGTTCTTGGAGACACTGCTCCCCAGGGGCCTCTTCTTGTTAAAAATGAGACCTGGAGTGAGAGACCCCCGGCCCGAGGCCGGGAATGGTTTGGTGTGGAGGGAGCTGGAACAGTTTGGTGTCCTCAGGACATGACCCAGTTTGTGAACAACCCAAGCTGTGGGTGCAGAGCCATCCTGGGCCGGGCCCAGAGGGGGACAGTCAGGTTTAGGGGCAGTGCCGGGCTCCAGCCCAGCCCTGATTTCATCTCATTTCACCCCAATTCCTCACCCCGACGTTGCTCCTTTCGTGGAGGAGCTTCGCTGGGGAGGAGGTGGGAGGGTGGGCAGCTCATGCCAACCCCTCTCCCGGTTCCTGACCCATCTGGGATGTGTCCAGTAGACTCCAGGCTCCCTCTTTTACCTCATATAACCCCGTGCTCCCCTTCTTTCCCCCTCCCCAGGGACACCGAGACCCTGATCGGGCTCCCACGGCCCATCCATGAAAGTGTGAAGACCCTGAAGCAGGTGAGGTGGTGGATCCATGCACAGCACTTGGGACATCCTCGTGTGGTGTGGGATCCTCCTGGATAACCTCTGGCTGAAACACAGTGACTGGAGGGAGCAAGAAGATCCTCCTTGTTAGCTGTGGCAGGAAAAGTTTTCAGAGCTTCCTACGGGGCAAAAAATCAAAAACTGAGTCCTCCCTGCAATTCCAAGCAGATTATCCAGCATTTTTACCTTCCCTTTGTCCATGGCGTGGCATTTCTGCTCCCTGGGGAGTGTTTGCCTGGAGTTTTGAGGGCGACAGGCTTTCAGGGTTGGGTTTGGACACACGCAGCCCAAAGCAGCGCAGTTCCCAGTGGGAAGCACGGCCGACCCCGGCTCCAGCTGTGCTCCAGGTGGAGAGTGAGGTACCTCCGGGGGCCATGGCACCCTGTCTCAGGCCTGGGTGGTCTTTTGGAGGTGATTGTCCCTCTCCATTTACCCACAGGGAGATCCCAGGGTGGAAGTGATGGATGGCAGGAGGTGTGTGGGACAGAGGGACGTCCCACACAGCGAGTTCTCCGTGTTCCCGCTGGGGATATTGGGGATATAACTGGGATATTGGGGATATAACTGGGATATTGCTGGAAGCAGTGCCTGCTGCCATCGCTGGCTGTCCCCTCCCTGGGTGGTGACACTGCTGTGCCTCTCTGTGGGTGTGTTTTTCCAGCACAAGTACGTCTCCATCTCAGATGTCCAGATCAAGAATGAGGAGGAGCTGGAGAAGTGCCCCATGTCCCTGGTAAGAAGCTGCTGCCCCCCATCACCAGGCAGAGGTGTGTCAGAGGGACCACGACAGAGGAATCCGGGAATTCTTTTGTTTTTACTTCATTTTCCCTTGTTTTCTACTGTTTCTCTGCGACAGGGGGAAGAAGAAGTCCAAGAAACCCCCTGTGAGGTCCTGTATCGAGCCATGTTGTACAACCTCCCCCAGTACATGGTAAGGCCATGGAAAGGAAGGAAAAGCTTTGGAGTGGGGAGTGGTGGGAGCTGGTCTGGGAGCTGCAGAGCTCAGCACAGGGTGGCTGGGGCATGGTCAGGACTCGGATGGGGAGATTTTGGTGGGGATCCAGAGCAGAGCTGGGTGGGAAGTACAGCCCAAGAGGAGGGATTCAGAGGAGCAAGGGGTGTAGGCACCCAGGGACGTGGTCAGTGGTTGGAAAAGAGGATGTGGGCAGAGGTTTGGGAGCAAGGAACAAAGTCCTCCACATTGATGGGAGACCAAAACTATTCTGGGTGTCCTTTGTTTCTTTTATCCACACCACCAGAGCTCAGGTGCATGTGATGCCTTAAGCTCAGCTCAGAGCTGTTGTGATCCCCACCCTTGGCCTGTGTTCCCGAGGGATAAAAGGAGAGGTTGGGTGTGCTCTGGTAGTGTTGGCTTGAAGTTGTCCAGCTTCAGCAAGTGGAGGAGAAGGAAGGACTTCCCTTCTCGGGACCACCCCTCCCTCTCCTGCAGATAGCCCTGCTGAAGATCCTCCTGGCTGCTGCCCCCACCTCCAAAGCCAAGACTGACTCCATCAACATCCTGGCGGACGTGCTGCCTGAGATGCCGTGAGTGCTGCCCAGGGGCCCCTCGTCCCCCCTCGTCCCCCCTCGTCCCCCCTCGTCCCCCCTCG